CCATGTAGCGAATTATTAATACTAGAGGAGACATTAAAATTATTCAAACGTGGTTGTTCTGATTCATCATTATTCATTTGATCGCTTTCTAATAGATTTGTTTTTTCAATAATTGCATTTAATTTTTCCACCACTTTGTTCATGGCTGGACGATTCTCTGGTTCGCTATCCCAGCACTCTAATATCATATAAAAATTTAATGATTTGAAAACATAACATATTATTGGTGTTAAAAATTTATAATAATATATTTACCGGTGTATATGTTTACATAATCTTCAGGCGTATCAGGAATGATCATTTCCCTTTTTCCCCTAAAATCTCTATAGCTAAATCAATGTCGTATTGTTCACCTTCAACATAAAATGGAGGGCGACCGCTTGAAATCTCCCATAAGAGCACGCCAACACTGTAAACGTCGCTCTTCTCAACTAACGTAAATTGTTGCAATATATTATCACCTTTTCTTTGTTTACCAAATCTTTTTGGGTCAATGTAAGAATTACGCCGAAAACCTTTGACTGTTGTTTAGTTGCGGCTTCATTTCTTTTCGATAATCCAAAGTCTGCTAGTTTAATCATACCTTGACGAATTAATATGTTGTCGGAATGCTATTATATATAAATTTATGTTAATGATTTCACAAACAACTTTCATAATGAGATATATGTTATGTAAGATTACCAAATCACGATGCACGATTCTTTCGTCATGTAAACACGACACACCACGAATGCAAAGTTGTATTTATCTCCCCAAGTGAATTATTATTCAAATAGTCTCTTAGCGTACCGCCATCGGCATATTTCATTACTAACAAATACCTTTTCAATTGATTTTCTAATTTATATATATATATATATATATTTTAAATAAATAAAAAAAATATGCGTGTGAGAGGTTAAATAAGATATAAAATATATCATTATGAACATTTCATACCTTGCATTGACGACGTTATCCCATCAAAACGGATAATATTATCATGAAAATCAACCTCGCGTTGAAGTTCAAGCCAAATATAAATTTTTAGTTTTGATACATATTATACTTTGTAATTACCTCACGAACAAGTTCCTTAACGGTGGCGTTGTCAAATTATGAAACGATTTTAATGCGAGATATTGCATTGAGTTTTTCCAATTTGCACGATAGGATTTTCCAAAGCTGCCAGTACCGATCTCTTCAATATTGCTGAATTGTTCGTATTCGTAGTATTTAAAGAGCTTTCTTGAGATAGATTCTTCAATCCAATTAACCGACTCATTCGAATTATTGACAGCTTGCATTTTGATTGATTTTGTATTAATCAATGATAAAGAATTCTTGGAGAAAAGCAAAAAAAAAAAAATAATAATAAAATGCCGCTTTGTATAACAAATATAAACGTCTAAGCCACCAGTGTTCAAGTAGATCAATCCGAAAAATCTGAAAAAAAAGAAAATAAGGAAATCATTCAATCGCTGCGATTCAACCCGAAAGAAACCTTCTAAAAAACATGAAGTAATTGAGAAATAAAAAATATCAAAAAAAAAAAATGTTTATGGATCCAGCAAGAAACCTTCCGTCACGAATCCGAAAAAGGAACCTAAAAAAAAATAAAATTATCTCAATCATCTATCGCTGCAACCCGAAGTTGTTCAAAAGCGAAAAAACCAATCCAAAATTAAATAAACCTAATACTTGCTGAAGTGATCCAATTCAAAGAGGATCGATACTAAAGAAAGAAACGGCACAATTCCGAAAAAAGAAAAAGAAAATATTCGAACGCTGTGATATGAACTAAAATTAAAAAAAAAACAACGATAAAATAAAGCCAACTTACCTGATAATCGAATCCGAACGAGAAAGAACTTAAAGAGGAAAGAAAAGAGGCGCAAAGATTTTATCAAAATCGTACCTGCGTCCCGAAACGACTGAAATCGCAAGAATTTTTTAGAAAAATTGTCGATCACTTTAATCATTTCTAAGCTAAAGAGAAGCAATTAATTTTAATTTTGTTTTTATAAAAAAAAAAGAAGATATAAATTGAACCATTCGAACAAAGCATATGCTATAAGAAAGTTGCAACTGAACTAACCAAAATTTGAATTTGTTGGTTAGTTCGATCAGCGCAAAATGTAGAAAATAATAACCTTCTATATGCAAGTAGAAATTACAAACCAAATCTATAATTTCAGCCAAAATTAAGTTGGACAAGTTAGGTTAATTAAAAAAAAAAATTATATACGGTAATATTACAATCGAGGTTAGGTTAGGGCGTGACAATATTCCGGTGCGCCGTCTCCATTATTTTCGACAGGCTTTGACTTCCAACCAAAAGAATAACGACGGCATTTAAGTTGCCAAATATATCAACTAAAGGAATTCGAAATAAAAAATTTCCATTTAAAGAAAAAGAATTATTTGAAGTCATTTCATTATGGGAGATATTATTAACAGACAGCCAAAACGTTTTTCATGTGAATGATATCTTCGTAAAAATATATTATCGTTCACACGGAATAACCATTAATGTAAGAATGTTCCTATTGGATATCGGTTGGAGGATATAATTACTGGAATGATCATCAATAAAGTTACAGTCAAAACTGGTTATAACGAACCTCTTAATAACGAACACTGGATATAACGAACTCAAAATTTTAAAATTTTTAATAATAGTTCGTTATAAAAAGTGTAATGGTTCATAAGAAAACATAGTAATTTATATAATGAACTTTTTTTTCTAACGGAGCCATCAGTTCGTTATAAAGAGTGTTACTTGCCATAAATGACAAAATTTTGTCCTTTTTATATTTGCTAAATTACAAACGAACAATCCCGTTGCATTTTTCAATTCTGATGCTAAATAACCATCTAGGATGGCACTTTCAAAAGCATATATATATATATGGTATTTGGTCTACCATTTATATCAATCGAACGTCCCGAAAAAGCAAAGCGGAGTACGTACTCGGAATGGATTAACTTAGAATATCTACAGAGAAACTATGTGAGGAATAGAATAGGTACAGACAGTTGAATTCCGCGTACAGATAAGAGGAAAAACCTCAGCACCTTGGATATGGTTGATGCCAAATTTCATTCGTTTATTTAATGCGATTTGAATGGTTACTTTGTTTTAACTTCCTCAATTAGTTGTGATTCTATATCCCAGGAATCTTTTTTCGCGGGTAATTTGATAACTTGTTACGATATTTGTTAATCAATGCCTTTTTCATACGCGACAAAAGCGTTTGAAGGTGCTTATGATTTTCTGCTGTTAGTGTGTGATGGATTTAATAACTTTAACGAGACCATTTACTCTGTTAGAGCAATATTAGTTCAATTAACATGTATTGTTACATCTTTATTTGAATTACTGTAATAAATGAAATAGCGCGTTAATTATTATTTTTTTTTGTTTTAATGTTTAGGTATTGTTAACACAAACTCTGGTTTCATGATATATATATAAACACCTATTATATTATTGTTAGGTTTAGAGTTACCGTAGTCATAAGATAGCAATTTGTCACCTCCTTATGTCTCACATAATGTTCACACATCGAACACAAATAAATAAATAAATGGAAGATACACATGATATAAAAGAAATTTTCTAAAATGTGCAACTTACGTAAAAAAACAAATTGAAATCAACTCTAATTGAATACACATATAACATTATCAATGGGAATCCCAAATGGTATATTCAAGGCACATGAATTCGAACAACCCAAATGCTATGTGTAACGGATTTTGTTCTTTGGTGTTCTAGACTTTACATACTGTACATCCATATGCATTGATACTTTAGATTCTGTAAAAAAAAAAAAAAAAAATTCTTTTATACATTTATACATATGAGCGGTTTTCTGTAGAGAAAACCAAATTTACTTTTTATATGCCCAAGTATATTTTCCACCTTTTTTTCTTGGACGCGCAAATAAATAAAAAAGTAAATTACTTGCTTCCCTGTTACATGATAATGCTGATGCCTTCGTCTAAGTTAATGGATCACAGCGTACAAGGTGATTGATAGCTTATAATGTAGGGCAAAATTCTTGATAGGAAATTTCCATTGATAACTACAGTATGCGATTAAAAATAACGCGCCCATCTAGATTGTGCGTAACCAACATATAAATCGCTTATTCTATTATATTATTTTATAAATCTATTATCAGTAAAAAAAAAAAAAAAAAACCTTGTGATCTATATTAAAAAATATGCTTTATTAGAAAATAAAAAATCAGTATATAAAAACTATTGATTTGACCAAAAGTACAATTTATTTTTTTCTTGATAAAGACCATTCGAATTATTTTGAATTATAAAAACTAGGACAAGAATGCGTTTATATGCTATACAGTTATTATTTTTTTAATTTTATGTTCTTTGGTCGCGCTTTAAACAAATCACTAACTTATGTTTTAAAATCCTTCTTTCTAAATTTAAAAAACGACCTATCGTTATATAGTTTTAAAAAAAAATTCGCTATACACTTTGACAAAAAAATTATCATTGGATTTATATGGTTTATTTGGAAATATTATAATCATTGCCAAAAAGGGGTATCCTTTCAAAACCAACACTTTTATCACAGTTTTTTTAAGCAATTAAAATAGCAACATTTTGGTACCTTTATATAAATAAATATCGGGTTTTAGAACTATGAAATTCCTATACATAAAAAGAAAAAAGGGCGGTGGTACGTAGGAATGATCTATTCGGCTCTACATTAATTATATTAATTATCTAATAGTTTAAGTTATAAAATAAACAATACATTTGATATGCTATTACCCAACGTTATATGGTCGTACATGATGATCTTCTAGGCGTTCCTTTTTTAATTCTTTGGTAGATTTCTTTTTTAATATTCTATACATACAACAACATAAATAAACCATACATCAAAATTTTTTATAGTTCATTAATATAAAATAATCCATTATAAATATGGGGTATTTCCTTCAGTTACTTTCAAATTTTTCAAAAATTTGAAAGTTATAATGACGTCAACATCATCAACATCACCCGAAAGGCAGCAATTGTCGCTTTCTTCTAATAATAATTCGGATTACGGTTCAACATCGGAAGACTTTCATAAGCCGGTAACTTTAATATCTTTTGATAATAATGATGCAGGTCCAACTCCATCTAGTCCGGTTTTCCACGTTTCACCTACTCCCACCATATACAATTCCTTTAAACTTCTGCTCACTTCTTCATATCTAAACTGGTTATTAATCTTTTTACCATTGGGATTTTTGGCTAATGCGTTAAATTGGAGTGATACTTGGGTGTTTACTTTGAATTTCTTTGCGATCGTCCCATTGGCCAAATTGCTTGCATTTGCAACCGAAGATGTTAGTCTGAGAATTGGTCAGGTAATTAATTTTATTTCATTAAAAGGATTGCATAAAGAAAATCGATTGAATTCATTCATTCATTCATTTTTTTATTTTTTTTTCGCAGACATTGGGTGGTCTGTTAAATGCTACATTTGGTAATGCGGTAGAATTAATTGTTTCTATAGTAGCCCTTAAAGAAGGAGAGATACGCGTGGTCCAAGCTTCAATGCTCGGATCTATTATTTCAAATTTGTTATTGGTATTGGGAATGTGTTTTGTTGCGGGAGGCATGTATCATGATGAACAAGAATTTAACCAAACTGCCGCACAAACGAGTTCAAGTTTAATGGCTTTAGCATGTATTGGCCTAATCATTCCCGCGGCTTTTAATTTTGCCGTTGGCAATGGTACTACCGTAATTGATTTTAAGCATGAGATTTTAGATCTGTCACACGGCACGGCGATAGTTCTATTGATCATTTATGTCCTATACCTTTTTTTTCAAGTGAGTGACGATGTTGTGACGAGACATCTACGTGAAACCGTAAACTAAACCTTTTTCTTTTTTTTTTTCACTTTTTGATCACTAGTTGAAAACTCATGCACATTTATATGATGAAACTGAAACACAAGAGGAACAACCTCAATTATCTCTTGGTGTATCATTATTCTTTTTAGCCGGCGTAACAGTCTTGGTAGCACTTTCTGCCGAATATCTGGTTGGTTCGATCGAAGGAATCGTTGAATATTCGGGATTAAGCAAGACATTTGTCGGATTAATTTTATTGCCTATCGTTGGTAACGCTGCTGAGGTACTTTCTTCGAATTCGAAAGTTTTTTATTTTTTGTCGAAAGTTTGGCTTAACACGTGATTTTCCCTCATCATAGCACGTTACGGCCATTACCGTCGCCATGAAAGATAAAATGGATCTTGCTATCAATGTCGCCGCAGGCAGTTCTATGGCAAATATTCCTGATTACTCTTTTGTTTCTCTTTTTTTGCTCCTTCTACTGCGCCAACCAATAATTTCCCCATCCTTTCTTTTAGCAAATCGCATTATTCGTCACTCCATTTCTCGTCGTACTTGGATGGGCAATTGGAGTACAGATGACCTTGTTTTTTAAGACATTTGAAACCGTCGTATTATTCATTTCAGTCTTGATAACGAATTATCTCATTCAGGTAAATCTACTCGGTTTTTTTAGCGGAAAAAGTCGATTCGAAATTAACGAATTTTTTTTTTAGGATGGGAAATCAAATTGGTTAGAAGGAGCAATGTTGCTGGCCACATATGCTATCATAGCGTTAGCTTTCTACCTTTATCCGGACGTTGATGATGCAAATGATATTAACACTGATCTACTTTGGAATTAATTATTTCATTTTTTATCATTTTTTTTACTTAAATTCAAATGAATACATTGTAAATATTATTTATGTATTATGTATTTAATTATATTTATTTCCCTTGTTTTATTATTATTATTTATTTTATTTAGACATATTTTATTCTATTTGATTATTTCTTTAAGGAGGGTTTCCAATTTTTTTTTTTTCTTAAAACCTGATCAAAAAAAAAAAAAGAATATATAAATATTTATGATATATGACATAATTCTGTGCAACGAATGATCATAACAACCCTCCCCAAAAAAGTTTAAAAAATCTAGGAACGTTAAAGGTTTCGACTCCTAAAACATCATACCTTACATTACATTACATAATATGTCTCTAAGCCCAAATGTGACTGATGAAGAATTGCAACAAACTGGTTCAAAAAAGAAAAAAACGCCATCAGTTATTATTATTATTATTTTTTTTCCAATTTTGATTATAATAGATATCTACATTACATTATACTTGATCAAATAATATAAAAAAAATTTGAAGCCTGAAAACCCAGTTTGTATTTTGGGCGTCCAAACAGTTACCCCGATGGCGACATCTGAAAAAAAAAGGCAGAAATTAATATAAGATTTGACATGTGTAACTATCCCAACGTGAAAAAAAAATTTGACTAAATTTAGGGGTAACTCACACTCGTTCGAGGAAAAATGGAATGATTTTTTTTCTTTTAACGAAACATGTTTATTTGGTAATCATCGAACCAATTATACAAATTGTTGAGGACACTTGTCACAATGAAAGGACCAAAAATCAAGTTTAAACTTTGGTTTAATCATAGCTCAAAGAGGTATTTAGAAAGGTATTTCTGATGATCTATATGTTTTTTATTGGTGCTCCATGAATAACATGTTAAAGTTGTTATAGGTTGGAGAAATCGGCTAATTTTGCACCTAATTATACAAAAATGGGAGCGTTTAGAACATCTTTTGATGGGGATTGTCAAATACACATCTAGGGAAAGAATTCGGCTGATCCGCTTAATTTTTTATTAGTATTTTTGTACTAGTAATCCCATTCAGTATGAGCTTAATTATTAATTGCACCAATTTTTACAGTCAGCCGATATGGTTAGCAAAATTTTAGTACATTATGAACTATTCCTAATATGATTTTCACTTTTTTCAAGTGAGGGGACATTTCTCCTTTTGTCAATATGATTTTCAGGCGAGATATGTTCAGAATTTATTTTTTTCACCTTTCTTTGACAAAGTGATGATATCAAAATAAGGGGAGTTGTAACTATTATGCTAAAATGATCTCATGCTAATCATGTTATGCCAAATGACATAATCATTTAAACGACGCGTAAGTTCCGAGCAATCTTTGCTTTTAACGGGCGTATTTCCTATGATCATAATATTATCCAACAAGAACTCCTTGTTGCACAATAAATTAGTAATTTTAAGTTTGGTGGAAATCCCGGGATTTCATTCATATAATGAATACAAAAAAATCTCGTTGGTTATAATAAATAAAAGGATCCAATCATTTGATCACCAATTAAAAATCGTAATAAAATTAATTTCCGATTTCTTACTTTTAAAGTAAACAATATATAGGGTTATCTGGTAGTAAATGATGTTACCTGCGAAAGAATTAAATGTCAATTTGAAATCAAGATTTATAAATTATCAAAAATAAGCCTTCGTTAAAGCTTATAGTCATTTCTTAAAAAGGCATTACAATGATTTATGGGGTGAGTGTCGAGAAAAGGAAATTATAAAAGAAAAATAATTATTTATTTTAAAATATTAATGTTCTGATTCAGAAATAACATTGGGGTGCGCTGTCGACATAGATTAGAAATCTGGTCCTATAGTAATTTTTACTATTAAAAGATTTTTTATAGTTTCGATAGTTTAAATTTGCTTTATAATAATCTTCTCACTAAATCGATACATTTTTATACTTTAATAACTTTAGAGATCTTCGTTCCAAATTTTACAAAAACTATTCTAAATTATTGTCCCTTTCATGTAACAGCTCGTTTTTTCCAAAAAAAAAATATATATATATCATTTACGCTTCAAGAAATAATAAATAAATAAATCTTTTTGTGCACGGCTCTCTAAATAAAAATTTTTTTCTTTTGTTGTTACCAAGAAAGCGAAGTGTCATTGTTTTTTAGGTTATATTGTATTCATTTAAAGTTTTAATAGTCTGATTGCTAACTTAAACCGAGTTATTTAAAGATTCGTAATAATAGTCAGCAAATAACTAGGCTTTTCACAAAAATCTTCAATAGTAAATTTACTATAGGACCATACACTGTATAATTAGTTGACCACACACATGTACTCCTCATTGTAAAAGTTGTCTGGTACATTGAATAGAACATTCATTCACTTTGTTAATACCGGACACAAGACAGCATGCTAACACACAACAGGAATTAATTAATTAAATGAAATGACTTTTTATTCACAGTTTTCAAGTCTATCTCTTAATTTAATAATATATATATATTTTTATACAGAAAGGATATTAATGTGACAACAAGTAATGGTACAGAGGAAACCAAAAAGTTGTGATGACCTTAAAAAGTGGTCTTCGTTCTTATCCATATTAGGGAATAAAATCGGAGTTATTATTAAATATATATATATATATTTTAAAAAAAAATCGGTGTTATTATTATATATATATATATATATTTTTTTTTTTAAAAAACAGACGGTTCTTTCCCCTTTTAACGATCTATGATTAGCAATAAATATACCCCGCATTCTAGATAGCCTCCTACATTTTGAATGTAACTCCAACCAAAATTTTAATCGTGTATCAATGTATTTTATTTGCATAAATTGTTGCCTATCTATAAATAAAATCATGATCTATTTCTTTCTAATGAACGGACATAAACGTAAACGAAATAAAAAGAAGAGAATTAAAATGCATATACAGAAACCAGTGGTTATTATATAATTATTACTTCCTGAAGTTTTATTTGTATTAGCGTCACTTTTATCTGTATTGCCGCCACTTTTATCTGGAACATATGCTTTTGTATTGCCGCCACTTTTATTAGGACTGGTAAATCCACCATTTTGAAACACCGTGACTGACTCCGAAAATGCAACTTTGATTTTTTGCGGGTTGGAAAAAGTATTTTTAACGACCAAACAATGTATATCGGAAAACTCGATCAAAATATTTCCGGTATCTTGATCGCATTTGGTTACGACCGTTTCACATGATAAGGAAGGTACATATCGATAAATAGTGGAATGGTTGGCTATATTTATTGCATTATCCGATGTTGCCACAAATGTCACAATTCCACTTCCTGTTAATGATGTTTTACCAACTGGAATTCCCTTAGATTCAATTCCAAATCCAGGTGTGATTGAGGTTGAATCGGGAACCTCTCTAACACTGTAACCTATAGAAATAATTTCGTTAATGCGATTTCTTTTAACAGAAGGAAAATGAATGATGAGAACGGTTGCTACTTACTAACTGATTTTGTTTTTGTTTTACCACATATCCTCCAAGTACCATTGTTTGCAGGAACATTCGCTGTTTGATAAGGTTCGACGACAGCTCCTAAATCTACTGGTGGTTGAGATGGCGATTGAGATAAGACAGAGATAAACTGTGATAGATTAAAAAAAAAAAATTAGGTTTAATCGTAAAAATGGAATGAGAAGGTTAATTAGTAACGAGAATTTATCATACCAAGGAACTCAAAAATAAGGCGATTTTAATTAAGCTCATTTTGCTTCTAAAATATGTTTTGAATTGTAGAAAGCAGATCGAATTAATGTGCCCACTTTTTATACTTGAAAAACGTTCTAAACTGTCTTGTATTATTCGACAAAAATAAAAATTCTTTCATTCAAAAGCCCATCATTTTATCTTATTCGGTGTAATATTAAGGATATATTATCTGTAAGTTGATTTGTTTAAATTAATTTATTTGTTCGATAATTAATTAAATGCCGAAAAATTCTTCGAGATCGTCATTATTTGTATGTATTTCCTTGTTAAACTTGGCGAAATCTATGTATGACCTAGACTATTTCGTTGTTTGACCCGTTTGAAAGAAAATGAAATTCAAATTTTTCATGCCTAATGACATTATTGTTTATTTAAGTATTAATGAAAGAATATTCTTTTTCAATTCAAAAATTATTAAGATTTGTAATATTCAATGTCTGATCTCTTACTATCTTGCACACTTCAACGTGGGTTTTACAACTGCAAAACGGATCACGTTGGTTACAAGATTAAACTTTTAAAGACATTTTTAATGATATTTAAATAATTCTAATATCATATTCATCAAAATAATTATTAATTTCTTTTTATTTATCTCATTTAATATAACTACTGTATACTAGCTGTTAGTTATATATACAGTAACTACATTAATATAAGTGATTTTAATGAATAGATATTTATTAAATTGTTATCATTTTCTTTATTTATATTAATATATTCTAAACCTTCTATATTTTTGTATATTATTTACAATATTATTGATATTAATAAGATGAATTTTAACTGGATACATATTTATTAAAATTTATATATTTTTTTATTTAACGATTAAGATAAGTTATTTTAAAATGATTAATTTTGTTTATTGATAATAACAAATAATAAATTAGGCTTACTTTATCTTTTTTATAATTTTAAAAAAGATTTTATAAAAATTTTTTTCTTTTTATTTTCAAAATTTAGAATTTTATTTAATTTAAATAAAACAAAAGTTTTTTTTATATAATTGCTAAAATTGATCAAAATATAATAAAGAAATAACTAATAAAATTATTTTTAATTATTAAATATTAAAATTATTATATTAATAATAACAATACAAAATATTAAAAAAATATATATTTGTAATATTTTTTTGAAAAATAATTTTATTAATTTAAATATAAATAAGATTTAAATTTTCAGTAATCATATTATTATATAAATTGAATATTTACTAATATAAAATTAAAATTAAAAATAAA